TGTTTTCATAAAAAAATCCGACTCGGTAATTTTATGTTTTCTCGACGTTTCAAGCCATTCTGAATCGAATGAGACCAAATGTGTGTGCGTGTGTGTGAACAGATTTTTTGCCGTATGATCGGCCAAACCATTTCTTTGTAAATCGCAGAAAAGTGTAAGATTTTCGTCAATGTTTTAGCCCGCAGTTCTCAATCGATTTTGAAAATTCAAAAACTGTTCGAATGATATTGCTCGGGAATCGTGTGCATGTGCAATCGTGGTGTATGGCATCGTGCCTTAAATCAAATTGCTGGAACTTCCTGTACCGTAATGAAATATTCGAGAAATTTTAAACGTTTTCAAATATATTATTGCAAATACTGTAACTTTCATTATTTTTGCTATCTTGTTTGTTATATCCGAGCAAATCAAATGTAAATCATAAATCAATTTATCTCCAGAACATTAACAATCGTCATTTCATTTCGAATTCAATTTAAAAAAATTGTTGCCTAATTAATTTACACAACATTGAAAAAGTGCTCCGGCCTAGTCACAGTCTAAACGCATTTGCAAATAATTCTGTGCGACGTTTTCACTTATCCTGTGCTTAGCTTGGCGGCACTTTTACATTTTTCAATAGTTTTCACAAAATTGGGAAAGTGCTCCAGTACGTCTAAACGCACAGTCTAAACGCACTTGGGTAATCATTTGTACCAGAGTGGCGCTTAGACTGTGCTTAGCCTGGATATTGTTTGAATTTTTAATCCAAAATTACAAAAATATTTTATGGAAAATAAAAAAAGATGTAATAATTACAATACAAACAGAAAGTTTGTATTAGTTCACTCAAAAACTGCTATTTTTTGCTCATTTAGCTCTGTATCTTCGAAATGGCTGGACCTGTCTTTGCCAAAAACTAATCAGCACATCTCCCTATCAATAGGGATCGAATGTTTTTTAAACCATTCATGAAAAAGGTTGATCCGTGCGCCCGAAAACGTGGACGAAAAAATGCGGCATACAAAACACACACATCCATTTTTTCTGAGGTATGCCAAAATGTTCAGAAACCTTCAAAACATCGAGAAATGCAAAAATTCTCATTTTCCATTTTCGGCCTATTACTATAACTACACTAGGGGAAGTTAATAAAGTACCCACTAAAAAGTTTTCAAGATATTTAAAGAAATGTATAAAAATGTCAGTTTACAATGGATTTATATAAAATTTTGTATCACAATATATAAAATAGTTCATATGAAAATTCAGTACATTTTATTTAGTTTTTGCTAAAATTATAAAAATGTCTCGAAACATCATATAGAAAACTTGGGACAACATATAAGGGCGAAGTCACATTGGATTTAACCAAAATCTTCATATAAGACTATATTAAACTCCCTAAAAAATATAGTAAATTTTATCTAGTTTCTTGTTGTAATCTGAGGTAGCATTCAAAAACTAGAGCTGGTAGAAAATGTATGTTACTTTTTTTGGAATCAGCGTCCTTGAATTACTCAAAAACCATCTTAACATCTTAGGAAAAAAATTTAGTGTCTCGCAGTGTTATTAATTAGGAACAAAAATATTTTATTTATTTATTTATTTATTTTTATTTATTCATACGCAAGCCGTAATCAATAATATAGATATTATTTCAGGCTCTTGTCAAGCTTATTCATAGTTAATATGAAAAGGATAGTAATTTTATAATAATCATAGTAGCTGCACGAATTTCGCTTCTGAAAAAAAGAGCTGAAAAAAAGCATTCGAACATTAAATACAATGTTTCATCATATTAAAGTCTATTTGACCACTAGTCAAGCTCAAAATTCTTGCACAAAGTCGAAAGTTATACTCATTTAAAACCGTAAAAATTTTAAATTAATAAAATAGCAATAAAAAATAAAAAATATGGTTGTACAGGCGATCAAATGGTCAGACTACATAGATAAAGGATAAGGATTATGCAAGAAAATAGTTATTGAAATCAAATTGAGAAAATTCAGTAATGTCATAAAAAGCTAAATGTTTAAAAAGTTTAACTAGGGAAGCATGAAATTTTTTGCTGTCTAAGTTTCGGATATTGAGTGGAAGTTTATTCATAAGCTGAATACCTAGACCGTCGATCGTATTGAAAGAGTTGGGCTACTTTATATGTACGCGCCTTAATAAGTTTGTGTTTATGTCTAGTGTTGTAGTTTGAGGAGAACGAAGCCATATCAAAAAGTTTCGAATTGTTTTTGATGAAAGTTAATGTTACCAGCAGAAAAATGCATGGGACAGTTAGAATATTGTATTTTTTAATATGGGTCTGCAGGAGGCTTTACTGGGCAAGGAAAAAATTATTCGAATAGCTAATAATATTCGAATAGAATAATAATGGGAATGATGGTGTGTATATGATTGTAGTTAATACTAATTTTATAATTACTACTTACCTTCTATATACCGAAACAGTACATTATTATTCCAACAATCGCCATGATTGATAACAGCATAAGGTTCAGCATTTGCACCCTTCGCCAACTCTGTACCAAGTGTACTCATTTGCCGAAACTGCTCCAATTTCTGCCTGCACTTATCATCTTCATCTAATGTATTCTGAGCTTTATCCACCAAAGTATTGATATAAGTATTAAAACCCTCATTCAGAACACCGTCGAAAAACACATCTTTAAAATCCGCCAACTTCTTGAACAACTCCGGTTTCTGGTCCTTCATGGCAAAGCTCAAAGCATGATATTTACCCAGTTCCTGCATAACCAGAGCCACGTGGTTAAGATCCAGTTTCTGGTGTCGATCGAACATTAGGAAATCCTGGTATCGTAAATCTTCCATCAGGACGAATTCGTCTAAGTTTTCTTCACCGGCTGCTATGCAGTTTGCGTAGCCGTCGAAACGGGTTTTACAGCCTAGTTCTTTTTGTAAAAGGGCGAATTCTGGTAGAACTTTTAGGTACATGTAGGTTTCTCGTTCGAAACAAATTCGGGATTTGAATTGTTCTCTTCGGGCGGCATTGGAGGGCGGAATTTTGCATATTAGATGACGCTGGTCTTTGGTGCCGTTCTTTTTGGTGCAGGCAATTGTTAGTTTGTAGACTATGCCCATGTAATTGTCACCTGGGGATAATAAAGTATAGAAATATATAAATAAGTATGTAGGGAATCAAGCAAGCTATCCAGGAAAAACAAAAAAAATGATGTTGTTATATTTTTATATTATAAAATTTTCTTAATCAATTAATTGCTTATATTCTCATCCAATGGATTTTATATTTTTATATTCATAACTACTTCCACACTGAAATTTCTATTTTTTATGAAAAATGTATTAAAAATTATATTTTAACTATATAAATGTGTCATGACACGAAATATTGTTTTTATCAAAAACCCATGGCCTCTTTTGATTCCCACAATTCTAAACTAAATATTATTTTTACTCATATTCACGCTCACTCACAATCACTTCACATTTTTTTAACTAATAAAAGAAGAAGTCCATTTGGGTCAGAAAATCCGATATGCTAATTTTATGTTTTTTTGACGTTTCAAGTCATTCTGAATCGAATGAGACCAAATTTGGAAAGAAATATTGTGTGGGCCGATTTTTGACATTCGTCGACATTTTTTCAAAAACGGCTGTACCGATTTCAAGAATTTAAAAGCCAATCGATGTATCTCGATGAGGTCTAGCGTTTATCAGTTTTGTGCGACGATCGGCCAAGCCGTTTCTTTGTAAATATTAAAAAAGTGCAAACATTCTATGTTTAGCTTATAAGTTTGTATCGATTTTAAAAATTCGTTTGATATTGATTGGGAATCGTGCTTTAAAATTAGGAATTAATTGGGAATTAATTTTTGGTCTTTTAATTAATAGATCCTTGTAATTAATTATTAACTTCCCGTAGGGTAGTTATAGTAATGAGCCGAAAAATCGAAAATGAAAATTTTTATATATCTTTACGTTTTGAAGGTTTCTGAACATTTTACTGGCATACCTTAGAAACTCAATGGATGTGTGTATGTGTGTGTGTGTGTCCGCATTTTTTCGTCCACGTTTTCGGGCGCACGGATTAACCGATTTGAACGGTTCAAAAAACATTCGATTCCTATTGATAGGGAGATGTGCTGATTAGTTTTTGGCAAAAGGCAGGTCCAGCCGTTACGAAGATACGGAGCAAAGAGTGCAGAAAATACAAATCGAGTTTTTGAGAGAACGGAGTATCGGATTTGAATGATCTAAAAAACATTCAATTTGCTTCAATGATTTTGAGAAGACGTGATTAATTTTTGGCAAAGACAGGTCCCGCCATTTCGAACATACCGAGCTAAATTTGCAAAAAATGGCAGTTTTTGAGTGAACTAAGCGTCCGATTTGAATGATCTAAAATAACTTTCTGCTTGTATTGACAAAACAATTGCGTTTGTGGATAAAAAATTCTAACATCTTTTTTTATTTTCCATAAAATACTTTTGTAATTTTGGATTAAAAATTCAAAAAATTGAAAAAATTACGCAACTAAGCACAGTCTAAACGCCACTCTGGTAGAAATGTTTACCCAAGTGCGTTTAGACTGTTTATGTACTGGAGCAATTTTCCAATTTTGTGAGAAAACAACTATTGAAAAAATGTGAAAATGCCGCCGAGCTAAGCACAGTATAAGTGAAAATGTCGCACAGAATTATTTGCAAATGCGTTTAGACAGTGACTATAGCAAATATTTTTTTGAAATTGAATTCAAAATGAAATGACGATTACGATTGTTAATGTTTTGGAGATAAATTGATTTATTTTATGATTTACATTTGATTTGCTCAAGATAGCAAAAATAATGAGAGTTACAGTATTTGTAATAATATATTTGAAAACGTTTAAAATTTCTTGAATATTTTGTTACGGTACGGGAAGTTCCAGCAATTTGCTGTAAGGCACGGTGTCATACACCACTACTTGTTTTTTCATTTTAATTTTTTTGTACTAGTATAAATTGTTTTTTATTGTTTTTCGAGATATTGTACTTCATATTTAAATTATTTACATTTTGTTTAGCTTATTTTAGTTAGTTTGCTAGTGGAGTCCCTTTCTTGGTCAGTATGAAGCTTATTTTGCTCAACATTTGAGTTTCGTGTTTTTTTCTTACTTTAGTTTGCTCGTCAGTAGAGTTCCTTGTTCCTCTCATTTATATAAATTCAGTTCATATTTAAGTTTTATTTATTTTAGTTTGTTAATTGATTTTTTTTTTGTTTTTCATTATGACTTATATTTAAATTATTCGTATGTAGAATATTAGAGAAACCTCTTGCCTTTTTTGGTTTGCTCATTAGTAGAGTTTCTTTGTATCAGTGCATACAAATTTGCTTCAAGATTTACTACTCTGAGTTAATTTATTAAGAATCCTAATTTGTTATTGTTTTAAGTGCGCAATAATTAATTTCTTAAAAACATTCTTATCTGATTGGAAAATATGAAAATATTTCGTGTAACAAATACTTGGTCGGATTGTAGGCTTGTAAAGCAGTGTCACTGCTAGTTCTTTATTTATAATTATTGTTTTTCTAGTATCATTTTATTATTCAGAAATTTGATTTATTAATTTTATTATTATTATTATTATTTGGTTTTATTTTATATTAAATCATCATGCAACGGATATCATTTTGATGTAAATACTATCCTTTGTACTCTTTTTCAATTTAAATTATGTTATTGTTCATTATTATTGCTAGTTGTTAAATTATTTAACAGTTGTAATGAATATTGTAATTAAAAAAATATATAATTTATTTAACTAATTTTTAATTATTTTTACCTTTATTGGATCCAGGTGCTATCTCTACCACATCGTGATTAATATATCCTTCTTTAGTCACAAAATCATCGATGGCATTAAGCACACTTTGAGAAACTGTGATATCTGTACCATTCGTCATTGTAAAAAATAATAATTATTAAAATTACAACAAATTGAAAACTAAATATATAGTATTTAGATTGAGGCTTTTAGCCTAAAATTAAATTTAGTTATAATTTTCACTTCTGCACAATTTTATAAAAATAATTTTATTATTTATTTTATTTATTTATTATTGTTATAAAATAGTTTCTTTATTAGCTTCGACCTGACGACTGACTCTCGTTCTCAATGTCTATGTTATGTGTTATGTATGTCAAATATTCTCACATGGTATTATGAAACATCAAATTAAATCTCTGAACAAGTGTGTATGTGTGTGTGTTTGTGTGTGTGTTTGTGTGTATGATCAGTATTGAGTTGATCTCCGGTGTGTGCGAATTAATTGACCGCATGTGTATATAAATAATTTGTACGATCATATGTGTGTACTTATAATTATGGTCATTAATTATAATCATATGTATATATACTAGATGACCCGACAGACGTTGTCCTGTACCCACGTCTACAATTCAAAAGTTCCAATTTTTTTAATATCCTATCCTAAACTTTTTAATATCCTTTCTGATGTCCTGCCTTGGTGATTCATTTATGGTCTTAGCTTAGGAAGTATATAAAATTCAGAAAAAAATAATATAGTATCTATATTATTATACAATAAAAGAACAGTATCACACTTGATTTTACCACACAACATAATTGCTTCAACAAATTAGTCTACGATACAGTAGTTACTTTTTGGCAATTATATTTTCTAAAGTACATTTTTCATACTAATAATTTAATAAACATTATTGTTTATGTTCAAATCTTTGGTGAATTAACTTGTAAAATCTAGTTCGTATGTGCACTATTCAATCTAAGATCAACTTGCTAAATATTCCATATCCAATGCCCCAAACAAATGAATTTTGAAACATGAAACAAAAATTCTAAATCATTTTTTTATTTTTTTGTATTGTTAAATAATTTAGAAAATTAAACCAAAATGCTACATGCATAAGTTTAAAAAAATAATGTATATGCAATTTTGAACTTATTGCTCCATTTATCAAACTGAATTATATAATTTCATCTGCCAAACACATGTACCGTTGACTGTATCTTATATTATTTTAATTCCTGGCACATCCCAGCTACGTTTCGGCAACAATAATGTAGACATTACAGATTCCTACCAAATTGGTTCATCCGTGCGCCCGAAATCGTCGCCGACGGTATCCACACATTTACACACACACACATCAGTTTTTTCTAAGGTATACCAAAATGTTCAGAAACCTTCAAAATGTAAAGATATGCAAAAATTTTCATTTTTGATTTTTGGACGATTACTATAACTTGCCCTATGTGAAGTTAAAAAAAGTCCAAAATAAGTTTTATGGGTAGACAATCCTTATTTTTGGAGTTAAGTTCAAGCTTTTCTATAACCTCAAAAAAATCTGATTTGAAATTTGGTGAAAATTATCTATTAGTCGAAAGCAATTTGATTACTAAAATTGACTATAGAGGTTTTTGGAAGAAGAGTAAAAATTTGATAGTATAAAATCTTAATTTGAGAAAAAATTCGCAAAAATGCGAGGTATGGACAAATTTAAATAAATTTGTGCCGATTGAAAAATTATATGATTACTAGTATTAGAATGACTACTACGAAATAGTGGTTTGTGGTAAGAGGGTGAAAATTTCGGTTTGTATGTGTTTTTCAATTACGAGTTACAAAAAAATAAAATTAAAAAAAATTGGTCAAAAAATTAAAAAAAACTTGGAGGTAATCAACTTTAAGATTGACCCATTGAGATAATAGAATGAAATCTATCTAACAGGGAAATCTATCTTGACCCCTCAAGAAGAAAATTTTTTTACACAAAATATAAAAATTCAAAGAATATTTATTTATTATTCTAATTATTTATCTATCTAATTTTTTCTAATTTTCTGAAATTTTCACAAATGATTTCAGATATATAATCACCCTCCTTGCCCTTTTTTGAAAAACTGAATTATTTAGTGATCTTTAAATTTTATAAAGTTTTTAACTCTAGGAACATACAGGTCTTGTAGACATTTATGTCCTAAAGTATTTGCGTAATTTTTAATTAGTTTTGATTTTAAATTTTTTTTAGCAGTTGCGATTTTTATTTTAATTTTTATTTTAAAAATCCAATTTATGATTGCAAAGCAAATAAACATCTTTG